ATATAATCTTCTATTTGATGAAGATGTGCCTGAAGGCTTTGAACATTATTGGCGATAACCTAAATAACAGCAAATTGGATGCTCAATAAGAACTACTTTGTGATGTTCCAGTGATGGCATGTCATCATCATCATTGATTTGTCGTCTGTTTTAATCTTGCAGAATAAATCCCCAAATTCCAGAACACAATCTTTGTTTGGAGTGTAGAATTTAAAAAAAAATGTTTACGTGTGCATACCAATGCGTTGATTTGGAGGTTAAATGAGTAGATAAATTGCCTTTTTTTTACGTACCTTTAAAACACGGAATAACACAACGATTTAGTGAAAAAGAGTCTCCCCACATTTGCTGAGCGAGCGGCGTCTAGAATTTCACTTCCGTTTTAGGAGACAACCATCTTTTTCCACGCAGACGTTGAGCCAGTGAGAAGTCCTGCTGTGTTGCTCCAAGCCAAGGAAGGAGGCAGAGGAGAGGAGGAGGAGGGAATGCTGCAGGATGCTTTTTTAGAATCATGGCTGTTAAATCCTCTGGCGACTCGGAGACAAACATCTAGCTTCATGTGAGACTTACAAGGAGGACGACGAGCACCATGTCCTCCGCGGTCGTCGCGGTGTGGCTCGCCACGGGTATGTAACGACGAAGCCAGCAAATATCGGACGTTTCATGCGTGTCGTCCATGACAGTTAGCTAGCGAGATAGCTCCTTAGTTAGCCTTGCGTGTTAGCCGCAGTGAAGGAGTCATGGGGAAAAAAAAAGTCAAAATAGCACTTTTCGGGTGGAGTGCCTTAAACGTTCAAGCCTTCAAAGCTGTTTTGAACGTGTGTCTTCAACGTGGAGTGTTAAGCGTTGCTCTTTGCACACGTCATTCATCTTAGTTTGCCATTCGTGTTGATGTATGCTGACGTGCCTGTTTTGATTGTGTCTCATCATTTTCATGTTAATTAATAGCATGCTTTGTTTGGATTTTTTTCAGTCTAAAATTTATTTGTAGTTCGCATAGGTTTTTTTTTAAACAGTACATTTATTAGCAATACACACTGTCAGTGAATTTGGCAGGTATTCATAAATGTGGGTACACTGTATTACCCAATTTTCAAGTAGACCAGACAAATTTCACATGACAAAAAAATCTTGACACACCACAAAACAAAAATGTCACAGTAAACGTATAGCTACAGTTAATCACTATTTGCGGGATAATGACAAGGCCTTACTGCGAAAAGCCACTCCAAAATTGCCGATACATTCCACAAGATCATGAACTTTTTTTTTCCCGAATGAAGCTCTTCAACTCACGCTTGGTATCAGATAGTGACCCAAGTACAAAAACAGCCAATTTTGGAGTTTATCAGCAAATAATGAAGGATGGGTTTTTGAAAAAAATCTGAAATGTTTTTAAACTGGCAAATTTCCCATAGCACACCTGATGATCAAACACTACATAAATAGGAAACTGGTATACAGTGACCTCATTTTGTAACTTTAACAATACGGGTTTTTTTTTTTTTAGCTAGACATCCTAAATGAATGGAGACAAACTAAACCTACAAGATTATTGTGGACACTTTCAGAAGACGTTGTCATCATACTTAAGTCGTAAACCAGACAGTGGTAAAAGTTTAGATGATATTTCTTTTAAATGTTGGACATCGATTAATATTGACAGAGACACAAAAATCAACAGAAAATAATAAGGGCGCGTGTGATTTCAAAATGGAGACTGAATGACACTCTTGATCCACTGGTGCTTTCATCCATTGATCCTCTAGTTTACATTGTGCATGGCAGCAATGCCACACACATGGCTTTGCATGAAGGAAATGTCCGCAAGGAGAGAACCGTTGGCTGGAAGCAGAGAACAGCCTTGTACAGAAATGGTGAGTGGGTGTGTGCAGTGGTGCACTTCATGTGTTGACCCGCTGTCCCCCCCCCCCCCACCCCCTCCCCTCTTCGCAGTCATAACACAATGTCATGCTCAACTGGTTCCCCCTTTAAAACTGTCATGAATGTTGTCACTTGTTTGCCTTCCCAACGCGTTGGTGTTCTTGCTCTAACAGTGCTTCACTCAGTTAAACTTGCCCCTGTAGAAACGAAGTTTTACTGCTGAAGTGACATAGAAAACCAATTCTACCATTCCGACTGCACACTGTTGGGCACTTTTCATGGCATTGTTTCATCTTACCTTTTCCAGGGAAAGATAAAGCGCTTGTAGGTTAACTGTTGTCCACTTCTACCATCAGCGTCTGCTTGCCTAGACGCTTGCGACTTTCACTTCCAGGTTGTGCGCTCACAGGCAATCAGCACAGGCACAGTGCCAAAGAGTTTTTGTCTGAACAGTAGCCGTCGTTGTTTTCCTATGCTCCTCAGCTGCACACCAAAGAAGCACATGCATTCCTCCTGACTGGAGCGCCATGCACACATGAAGCTGAAAGCTATCCCTCCCTATTTTTTTTTCCTGGTACATCAGCTAGCTCGAGGCCCATCTGCTACTTTGGGTTTCCGCATGGATTTTTCACTGGGGCCTCACACACGTGAGACTCGCGCTTGGACAAGGTTGGGCCAGGAAAGTGCAAGACCAAGTTACCTATTTCCAAAATCCCCAGAAGGCTTGGTTAGTCATTTATGGACATAAGTTTTAACTCATTCCCTGCCAGCCATTTTAGAGCATTTTAATATTTTTCAGAAAGCAGAAGTGACAAGTATACTTGTCAACAGGCAGTCAATCACGATCAATGTGACATTTTTAGACATTTATTGAAATTAATGGGTAACGGTGTGTATGTCAGCTGTGGAATGGACATTTTCTGTTCATTCCAAAACTTTTGTCTTTCGATGCATTAGTCTTGCTCTTAAAGCAGACGGCTCCATCTGCATTGGCCTGTTATGCATTAACCGGGAATGGGTGAAGTATTACGTACAGTAGGAACTGCACGTCATCTCGAGAGGGCTCGGCCAGGAGTCGGAATGCCACAACTAGGCAGATTCGACACCATTTGGGGAGACTCAAGGTAAATTACCCAGTGATAGTCCACCACACTATCTGAATGCCCAAGACTAAGCTAGTGAGAGCGTGGTAGTACCCAGTCCATATTTCCTCAAATATTGCCCCCCCTTTCTTTGATATTACATGATACTTTCTCCCGTTTGTGCTCACTTGTACATCTTGCGTCACTACAAGGTTCCACCGTGCTGAATTTTGGCTGCCAGCACTTGACTGTGAGTGCGAGCTGGAGGCCCTTCGTCCTTTTGTCTGCTAAAGAAGTGCCAAGCCCCAAAAGGGGGCATAATAGACCAGAATGTCTTTTTGTCGAGGGCACCAACCAACCACTGTGCGAGTTTTTAATTCTCGGTCGCGATTGTAATGTCACGGCGGCCTTTGTTGCTCTCGTAAGAGGATTTGTCTCGCTCAGTTCCCACTTGCCGTCCTTGGAGAGATAGAATCACCAGCCGCGACATTAGGTACACCCGTGTCGTAATAATAATACAATGATATTGACAACATCAGAGGTATTATTTTTGCAACATGATTGTGTTTTAGTTTGCAGTGATTCGTGGCCCTTGGGTTTCTTGCTCAGTTCAGATCTTTGGTGAACGTCAAAAGCAAAATAAGGGATTTTCCTCACAAATCTGGCATCATTGTTTATAAGTAACACCATGTCAAGTGTCGACTAAAGGGCCATTGATCGTAACCAGCTGTGACTGAGCCCTCGGGGACTTCAGACATATGGCTAGGTCAACGTCTGTGTCAGGTGTTTGACATGCACGTTTAGCCTTTGGACTTCTAACAGTTCCGCGTGTCATCGTGTCCCTCTTCAATAAGCCAAACTGTAACAGTGAGCCCTAATCTTTTTTTTTTTTTTTTCCTCAATCTAAATTTCCTGTTTCATGGACATGGATTAAAAGCTAAATCCTCTATTACGTTCCTCATTAGGAGCTTCAGTCTGTGCATAAGGAGAGCGGGCTGAACGGTCCCATTCATGTGTGATCGTGGCGCTTCGGTTAGCAGTGTCACTTTGATATTGATGGGTAGTGGATAAAAATATATTTAAAAATAACAGTGCCAGTGGGAAAGGAGACACACATACATTCGTAGTGTATGCGTGCTGTGCTGGTGTCCACAGGCAAACGTTTTTTTTCTCTTCCCACTCCTGCCTCCCCCCCTTCCTTGTGCACTCAATCTCCCATGGCGATGAAAGAAAGAGTGCCCACCCACCACTCGAGAGAAAAAAGGGCAAAAAGAGAGGGGGAAAAAATAATGTACGAAGATAAGGGGGAGGAGCGTGGCCTTGGAAAGAGCAAAGAGGGCCAGCTTGAAAAAAAAACCCCACAAAGCTGCCAATAACCTCTCGTATTGAATTGTGTCCGCTTTTTATGTTATGTTTGCGTTTAAAATTGAGTGTGTCAAACACAAAAACAACTCATACCCTTCGAGTTGTTTGAACAGAATTCTTATGCAATGAATTGAGTATTCTGTTTCGTGAAAAAAAAAATTCCCACAAAGTCGAGAAACGCTATGAGGGTTGAGGGTGTGATGAATGTGACACATTTTAACTTATTAGTAATATTTAACATTAAAATAGTAAAGCACTAATAAATGTTCAATATATTATATACTGTATATATTCACCCTTACTGCTGCAAGTTCTATGTAGTAGCTAGCAAGTGGCTAGTCGCAAACATTAGCATTTGAACTTTGCTGCCAGAACTGAGTTTTTGTGTGACTTTAGAGGCTTACTTCAAAGAATATTTTGGTCAGTTTGGAATAGTACGCGATTTGGGAGTACCTGTGAAATGCAAAAGTCGATTTTAAAGTAAAAAAAGGAGGAAAGGTCAGCAGTTAAAAAAAGTTTACACTTAAATGAAGATTGAATGACACGACTCTGAAAAGTACTGCTAGCACAGAGCTAATGCTAACATCATGAGAGGGGAAGTAGTTAAATCTGGGGTGGTTATCGGAATGGCAGTGGCACTATTCATCTTTAGTACAAATTAGTAGACCAAAAAGAAGATTTTACAGAACATTCAAGGGACGAGCTGAACATGTTGATGCTGTTGTGATTGTAATACTGTACATGCAAACTCTGTTTCAGTGATCACCATCTTGTCAAAGTCGCACGCGGAGCGTAACGTCTACCCGTCTGCGGGTGTGCTGTTCGTCCACGTCTTAGAACGAGAGTACTTCAAAGGGGAGTTTCCCCTCTACCCAAAATCAGGTACAACGCTGTCAAATATCGTGATTTAGTGCGCAGCCATATTTTACTGTTTGGGCAGGTTGTTGAAAGTCACGCACTCACGGAGGCAGGTGCTTTCCTGGCATCACTTCACATTCAGTGCTGTAGATCTCAATGAGCGTTATTGAGGTGGTGTTGAAGCCCCGTCAGGACATTGGAGTGGATGTAATGAACGCTACTTTGCTTTCAGGTGACGCCACCAACGACCCCATCACTTTTAACACCAACCTCATGGGGTACCCAGACCGACCCGGCTGGCTGCGCTACATCCAGCGCACTCCCAATAGTGACGGAGTTCTCTACGGTTCCCCCACCTCTGAGCATGTGGGCAAGGCCACCATCATAGAGGTGTGTCAACAGTGTAAAATGGGGAAAATAACATGTTCATATATTTCATCGAGTGGTACCTTGAATTGACTTCAAATGTATTTAAAGCAGGTGGAGGGGTAATTTTGTTGTAGTTGCTTAAAGGGGTTTCCATCATGTAATTTCTCCTATTGCGGGCTGGCTCATGGTAAATCTTATATATGAGGTATATAGTAAAATACATTTTAGAATAAATCATATGTTATTGTGATCTACCTTTATGATACAAAAATGTAAAAACCTTGGCAGTTGAAGAAAATAACCCCTCCTGACCACAATATGAGAAATTGTCATGTTATTGAACTCTGTTGATTTTCTTTAATTAGCAGCACGGTACATTGTTATAGTTTCAGTTTCCAGGCTTAATTCCATTCTGTTATTTATGCTTTTTTTTTTTTTTTAAATAAGCTACTGTCGAAATTCTTTTCCCGAAAGGATGAGCGGTCCCAGCGTGTGCCTCCAATGCAGCGTGCCGGCTCGCTGTGCCGGCCTCCGCAGCTCAGCCCGCGCCAGAGAGTTGCCGTATAAGCCGCACTCATGATCTGATCTTAAAGCCTTACCCCCTTGTGTGTTGCAGATTACCGCCTATAACCGACGCACTTTCGAGACAGCACGGAACAACTTGGTCATAAATGTCATGGCCACCGAGGGTATGCACCAGTGTGAGAGCTTAGCGCCCGCACACACCCGAACAGCAGATCCGCGATTAAATCCTGAGGGCTAAATCACTTCTGGAATGGTGTAATGGGCTCCTCTAAAGAAAAAAATATATAGAATTAGGTTATCTTATGTAAATGTTTTAAATAATGAAGTCTTTTCAGCTGGGCAAGATCTACTTTGACAGAGAGCCAATTTAGTGCATCATTTCATGTACCAAACACATTAGTTGTGTCGACTGTCGTTCCATAAACTACAGTTAGATGACATGACACCCTGTGTCATTGACCACTCAAATCCAAGAATTATCATCGCTCTTCCTATACTGTACTGTATAGTGATGTCATCAACCATCTGGACCAAAGGGAATCGGACAGCAGCGTACGACGAGACCTCCTCGTCAGGATCAATGATGTTAGCCAAACCAGCACAGCTTTATGGATTAACATCTGCCCTCATTCCCTTCGCTGCTCTCTTCATCCCACCGTAGAGTTCCCGCTGCCCTACCAGGCAGAGTTTTACATCAAAAACATGAACGTTGAGGAGATGCTGGCCAGCGAGGTGCTGGGAGATTTTCTGGGAGCCGTGAAGAACGTGTGGCAGCCCGAGCGCCTCAATGCCATCAACATCACCTCGGCGTTAGACCGCGGAGGACGTGTACCACTGCCTATTAATAACCTGAAGGAAGGGTAAGGATGTAGGAAGAAAGAACATTGACAAAAATAAAGTCCATGTGAGCTTGACATCAAAAAAATCATACATCCAATATTAGAAGGATGTAATGTTTTTTTAATGTTTTTTTTTTTTTTTTTTTTTTTTCTTCCTGTAGCGTGTACGTGATGGTGGGCGCTGATGTCCCCTTCTCGTCGTGCCTGCGCGAGGTGGAGAGCCCCCACAACCAACTGCGCTGTAGTCAGGAGATGGAGCCCGTCATCAGCTGTGACAAGAAGTTCCGAGCGCAGTTTCACATCGACTGGTGTAAAATCTCTCTGGTAAGGTGACAGATTCGTTCACTCAAAATCAAACTTTTCAAAACATGACAGACTACATAATGTCCTGACTGTAACCACCGTCATCAGTGGACGTTGCTAAAAGTAAGCGGACTATTTTGACACGGGGTAGAAATTACAGCGCGGTACTTTTTTCAAATAGAGGGAGTGCAAGTATAAAAAAGTTATCAGAAAAATAGTCCAGCCATTAAATATTCTATTTGTACTTCTTCCCACCCCTCCACGTCACGTGTCGTCATGCCACTTTTTCGACTGGCCCCAACCTCAGGTCCGTGTCTTTAATTGGTCATATGTAGGGATGCACTTTAAAAAAAAAATGAGATGACATAATTTATTCCAAACTGTTTAGCGGACCCTCACTCAAGGACCCCAGTTCAAAAAGCCCTGAAGCTCATCTTTTTTGCTTTTCCACTGACACGCTTATTTTTATGCTGTAGGTTGACATCAACAAAGTAATCCCGGTATACGTCAAGCGTCCTGAGCTGGGTCCTGGGGTGTTGCCTGAATTCGGGGATTACAACCCCCCGTCAGAGTCTCTGAAGAGCCGGGACTACTTCACGGACTTCATCGTGACGCTGGCTGTTCCTTCGGCGGTGGCGCTCGCTCTCCTCTCCATGCTAGGCTATACCATGTGCTGCCGAAGGGAAGGGGTGTACGTATGCTTGCTCTTGCAATACAGTGAACTGAGCCTAATCGGGAAAATCTGGAAGGGATTGAGCCGCTAAAAAGGCATTATAATTGCTTATGGATGGCTCAAAGGACTATATTTGTCTCAATGAAATTCCCCCGCTCACTTCAACATTGTTCTTTGATACCACAAGATGGTGCCAAAGTGCCCTTTTTTTGTCTGAATGCTATTCTTCAACATGCTTGAGCAAAGTTCTTTGGCACCAAGATGCCACACGATAGCAGCAAAGCAATGTTTTATTGATACCAAGATGCCACAAGGTGGCGCTGAAGTACCGCTTTTACATTTTGGCCTCTGCTCAAGACCAAATTGGGAATTTTTCGCTCATTTTCACAAAATCCCGAACTGTGAGTATTTGCTGGTTGATTGCAGTTGTTAGTGAAGACTTTTTGAATGGTGATGAGTGCAGGGACGTTAGCAGCACACTAGCACTAATCTGGACCAAAACGGCAGCTTTTCATCACCGTCCATCTGTTGCCACAGCAACGACCTCTCATCCACTGTAAGCCATGTCACCTTTTCCAGGCTTGAGAGCCTCCGTCCCATTGTCACCTCACCAATGTGTCCGTTTGAGTGCAGTTGTGTCCGTTTGGACTGCCGGTGGTATTTAATTCATTCCATCTTTGTTTTGATTCTAGGAAAAAAAGAAACATGCAAACATCAGCGTAAGTGTTTTGCCTCTCCGATGTTTCTTTCCCTCCCTTTCTCTCTGTCCTCCATGTTGATTTTCCATCACCGTTGTTGTATTCATCAGTGTGTCAGGGTCCATTCATCCATGAGGGCTGCTCCAAAATGTAGGCACGATATTAGATGACCTCAATGTGTAATGGCACCTTTGATGCGTTTCGCCGCTATTCATGGAGGACAGCCACCGTGCCCTGTTTTAGTAATTGCCCGTATATCCCAAAAGATGGCGGTAAAGCTCTAATTTTGTCTAAATTAAGATCCTCGCCCCACACCGAGTTTCTCAGCACCAGTTTTACCCTGCAAGATCCATTTACGTACATGTAGATCTCACTTACAAAATTTACAATCCCGCAAGATCCGTTTACGTACACGTAGATCTCACTTACAAAATTTACAGTCCCGTATAGTTCGGTCACTTCACTTGAAACGGTGACTCGGTTCACAACAAAGTGAAACATTTAGTGGTTTGATTGATTCAAAATATTGCATAAAAAAAGAATCATAATGACATCAACCCTTTAACTGTCAAGATAGCAAAATTGCAACATTTCGCGTATGCCTTTATCTTCTAATATATGTATATGTATATATATATATATATATATATATATATATATATACACACATATATACTGTATATATGTATATATTTTTTTTTTTATGAATATAGGCCTGATACAAAAGCTAGACAACAATAACGGACTGTAATGTGTTGAATTTTGGCCCGTCTAGCATCCAGCTGGTCCACCACAGCTCCATCCAGAAATCCACCAAAGAGATGCGCAACATGTCAAAGAACCGGGAAATCTCCTGGCCGCTCTCCACACTGCCCGTCTTCAACCCGGTCAGCGGCGAGGTGGTGCCGCCCATCCATCCCGACACCTACGAGACCACCAGCATGCCTCTCATGCAGACGCAGACGTGAGTCCAGGAAACCTCATCTTGTTTTTTGTTTTCTTTTCAACATACAAGCACAGCTTAAGAGCTTCGAGCTGTCCCGTGATTTGTCCATAATGGGCTTGGCGCAGAGAACTATGCGATTACATGCGTTTGGCATGCCATTTGAGGCTTATTCCCACTCACCAAATGTCTTTGACTGCAGGAACCTACAAAACCAGATTACCATACCACAACAACAATCAGGTTTGTTTGCATTACCTTTGTTTCGGATCATGAGCATGCCTAGGCAGGCGGCAGTGTTACATGACTAAAGCCACCACTTGCTTCTTTAAAACATTTTTGAAACATAGATGTCGGTTGAGTACTTTCCAAATGTTCCATTTATGGCGATCATTCTCAAACCTTCATCCGTTGAAGAAAACGGTACATTTAAATTTTGGTCATGATGGTGGTGGTATTAAGGCAAGAAAAAAAAAATTTGAGCAGCCCTGGAATCAGACAACTGTAGTGTAAGAGCGCCCCCTGCAGTGTGCATGGTCCACTAACGCCCTTTTCTTTTTCACTGCTAACAAAGGAGATAGCTATGTCATGTCGACATTTCGAAGGTTGGAGGTAGGCAAATGTTATCAACCAAAGTGGACTCTTGGACTTGGAGTCCAAATGATTCATAATTCATGAATGTTCTTGTAACTTTGGACTTATGGTACAAAATGAATGAAATTAACCATCTTTTCTCTCAATCTTTGCAGGTAAATGGTATTCCTGAGGAGAGGAAGGTGGCTGAAGCACTCAATTTGTGATCTGACTGAAGGTCAACAAACAAAAGTCAAAAAAGTGTCATCGATGGGCTCGACTACTTTCTTCACTTTGCGTGTGCGCGAAAAGCATGGAGTATCAAATGTACACTTAAATTTTAAATAATTCAATACTGTACACATAACACATTTCAGAGCGACAGCAGGTGACACAGTACAGTAGCTTTTAGCACGGGACTACTCACAAAAAAACAAAAGGGGGAGGTAGTCTGAGTTTTGACCAAAAGAGCGACTTGTTCTGAAACAAACGCACCTTTTGTTGTTGTTAGTGTTCTTAATAAATGTACCACCCATCTCCTTTTGCAATGTCAAGTTTTTAAAGTTTTCCTTTTACAAACAGTGAGAGAAGGGGAGAAAAAAAACATGTTTTTTTTTCGGGGACGTAGTGAGGGTAGGGGGCCCGCTGGAGACTTTTGTCTTTGAGAGCCAAATCCGGTGCCCCGGGGCTCGCAACGTCCAATTATTGAGGATGAATGGACAAGGAGCGGCGTTTGCTGGCAGGCCTCTGCTGGCTGAGGGGAATCGCCAGGGATTCGTTTACCTGAGATCTAGGGTTCAAATCTTGCATGGACAAATGTATACGTGTACAATGCACCACACTAACCAATTAATGCTGTGCTGCGCTGTGTGTGTCACTAACCCTGACCAAATAACCTGATCATAAATGCCTTAATTCCGAACTACCATTCTTTCCTGCGTGTCACCTAACCGACTTTCTTCGGACACAGCAATAACTATTGGCCGTTTTTTTGCATGCACATAAATGTGTTTATATTGTTATTTTGAGTTGAGTATATCTTGGAGGTTAAAAACAAGGAATGCCAGAATCCCTCACTAATTAGAGCAGCTCGTACTCGTGTTTGGTTCTAATGGGATCCGAAAATAATTAGTATTGCAAAGTATGGCAGTCAGAAGAACTCAAACCAGGATTGTTCCGGTCCCAGGACAGACCGTACATGATTAGGACTAAAACGCAGGTTGCAAAACGAAGGTCCCGGGTTCATCCATTTTCCGATCCGCTTTATCCTCACAAGAGGGGGCGGGGTGCAAGAGCCTGTCCCCGACCGAAAAACGATCCGAGCTCACACTCACACCTTGGGAGGATTTAAAGTGTTCCATGAACCTGCCATGCATGTTTTTGGAATGTGGAAGGAAACCCACGCAGGCCTGGAGAAAACATGCAAACTCCACACAGGGAGGCCGGAACTGGAATCGAGCCCTACACCGTGAAGTCAACGTGCTAACCCCTCAACCAACGGGCCGCCCTAACCAAGTTGAGTGACAGCAAATGTGCAGAGAGGGATTTTTAATGCTTCTCTCAAGAGGATATATAGAATACAGATTCATCGGGGTTCTTGCAGTTAGCAGGAAATCTAACTGAATTGAACTGAAGAATTTCACGAACTTGCAAGACATGGACAAATATGTTGATGTAAGGCAAACTTGGAGGTGCTCTTTCGTTCATGGGCACAGTAATTAAAGTTATTTGAAGTTAAAGACACATAGTTAAAAGGAGTACAAAACGTAATTTTTCTGTCACTAACTGTGCGCATGGGCGGTAAGCCGTTGGAAGGGTTTTTGTTGCTTTGTAAGGGGAATCGTAATCATTAAAAAGGGCAGCTATTAGCCGAGGTTGACAGGTATGCAAAAGGAATTGACTTTCCCAGTTGCAACTCGTCCAGATGATCATAACACAACAACAAAGACCAACATGGTGAGACAGCATCTGATAAAGGTACCCAGGGAGTTCTATTTTTTTCGGTGGGACTGTACTTGGAAAGTTGAGAGCCACTTCAGTCGAAGGTTTGTCATTCCGATTGGTCACCAGTAGACGGCGCCCTTACGTTTCGTAAGGCCTTGTCAACACCGTCGACGACGGGGGCGAGCCTCT